TATGTATGTATGTATAAATATATTTATGTGTGTATATATATATATAATGGATACGGAATTTGTGTGTTGTGTAATTTCGTTGCACAGCATCACATTCATTTGTCGGCCATATACTCGTGGTGATTAACTATGATGTATTGAGATTTCTCTGATACAAATTACGAGAGTAACTTACTTAACTCACTCAAACTTCATACTATGCTGTATTGCCCCCTCGAAATAAGTGTTAAATATAGATTCAAAAGACAAGTCACTTGTATATACATATTTATATTTTGAACGCATCCTGTAACTGTACCCACTTATGTTGTATGTTTTTTATATGGTGTAGTTGAGGTGTAGCAAGAAAGCTCGTTTGTCGGTCGGATTCTCTGGCAAACAACGCTCTTCAATCAATTAGATATACTGTATCTGAAAGCATCACATAGACACCATGATCACACTCTTTTATGTCACAAGCTTATTACATCAATGTTTATAATATCAATACACAGGCTCCGTTCAGCAAACAGTCTGTGGGTCCGCACCATTAGATCGACATCTGCCACATTGAAGCCATACACTTGTGAGTGGCCCAACTGTGGTCAGACATGTGCCAGTCTCGCTAGTCTTAAGGTGCATATGCGCATGCACACAGGTGAACGTCCCTATGCGTGTGACTACCCTGGATGTGGCATGATGTTTACTCAAACTGGTAGTTTGAGAAGACACAAGCTTGTACACACAGGCGAACGTCCCTATGCGTGTGATTATCTTGGGTGTGGCATGAAGTTTACTCAAAGTGGTAGATTGAATGCACACAAACGCATCCACACGGGCGAACGTCCCTACGCTTGTGATTATCCTGGGTGTGGCAAGAAGTTCATGCAAAGGAGTGATATGGTAAACCACAAGCGCGTGCATACAGGCGAACGTCCCTATGCATGTGACTATCCTGGGTGTGGCATGAAGTTTACTCAAAGTGGTAATTTGAATGTACACAAACGCATCCACACGGGCGAACGTCCCTACGCTTGTGATTATCCTGGTTGTGGCAAGAAGTTCATTCAAAGGAGAGATATGGTAAACCACAAGCGCGTGCACACGGGCGAACGTCCCTATGCGTGTGACTATCCTGGGTGTGGCAAGAAGTTTACTGAAAATAGGTCATTTGAATGCA